AAACCATCCTTAGAATGTACTGTAACAAAAGTTATTCTGTTGACATACTCCACATACATTCTGAGACATTAGGTACTATCTATGCACACTGTGCTTTTCATTTTCCTAAGGCCATGTGAAGAGATGCTGTTTATGTCATAGTGGATGATGCCTATCTGCAAGGTAGATGACATATTTACAGAAAGCTGGAGTTTGCAAGATATGGCCCTACAGTTTTTGGTCCCCTGATTTTCTCTACCCCTTATTTCTTGTGACATCTCTGAGCATACCTGCCAGTACTAATTTCTAAGAGCTATTCCCACTCCCTAAGCACTGTACTGATTTTTTTTTCTCAAAAGTTCCTAAAACATTCCCCTTTTAGTATCTGTGGTCCATGTGTGGTACCATGTTCTCCTAACCTTAGGCTTAAAACCACAGTCCACCTGCCTAATTTTTGTCCTGATCTTTACTTATTCTGTCTAATTAATTGTCAGATCTTGTAGATTTTTTTTTCCAAGAAATCTCTCATCTTATAAACTTGGTTTCATTTTAACTCTCACAACCATTACTGTATTTTGGGTCCTTGTTATTATATTTGAACTGTCACAAGTAGCTTATGATTCTTCTTGCCTGTACTCTCCTTTCAAACCACTTTTGTTAGATGAGTCTTCCTGAAGATTCATTGCTAGACAAAATTTTACATACTCCCTGGTGTCCAGAAGATAAATTCCTAACTCTTCAGTATAATATAAATAACCCCCCCCACGCTTCCATTTTAACAATTTAAATCCCACATGTCTGATCTCAAATCCAACTTCCTTTTATTTTGCTTTCCTCAACTATTCCAGCTTTCAGCTGGTTTCTCATCAATATGAATGAATTTCTGCAGCAGTCTTCTGTAGAAATCTTTGAGTAATTTATCAAATTATGTCTTGATTTGCCTTTATATAATTAGATGCTTTTATGTTGTACCCTCTAACTAAGTTTTCTAAGTGTAGAACCCATGTTTTGTAGGTAGGTCTTTGAATCCTTTATAATATCTAAGACCTAATGGCTAAAAAACATCTATTTGTGGGTAAAAAAGAATGGGATTTCTTTGGGGCTACATTTTTCATAGTGTGTTTTGTTTTGTTTTAGCTGGAAATGTTTTTAAAACACTTTTAAAAAAGACACTCCTATTGTATTCTTATAACCATTCTGTAGGGTTAGGCTAGGGATCTTCATTTGAATAATTTATATGATTTCCACAAAGAGGTTAATTACTGATGGACAGAGCCAGGTCTTCTTATTCCCACTTCTATGTTCTCTCTACTCTATCCTCTGACCTCTCAGAATTTGACTCAGTACTTCTTATTTTATTAAAAAATGTTTAGGTCTCCATGCAACCACCTTAGTAACCACACAGATTATGTAATCATGTCTTCTCTGAAACTGACCTCACTCTTTTCAGTCTCTGTTGGCAGAATAATCTTCCTATAGCTCGTGAATCAAACCTACCTTGTTTTTACTGCAGAGCCTAGAAGAGTCCTTACTTCCTTTCATGACACTGCCTTGTATTCCCAATTTCTGTTTTCCGTTCACGCTTTTGTGCAAAATAAGAAATGAAACATGTACTAGAATTGTTTTAAAATTGTCCAAAATGTCTCCAGGGTTGACTCACTGCTAAACCTCATGGAAACCCTGGTTTGTTTGGCTGGACCAGGGAGTGGGATTTGGGGAATTATGATAATTACGGCTCATCGTATGATCCAAGGCCAAATACTTTATTTTTCTTTGCTTTCATTGCTCCATCAGCAAAAGGTAAAATTTATTCTGTGTAACCAGAGGGTCGATGGCAGCGGAGAGCAAAAGTTTCATGCCGTTTGTGAGCATAAGACTATTATAAAAGCTAAATATAGCCATGGCAACTACCGCAGGGAAACAGAGCTTTCAGATCTTTCTCCCAGGGGCCCAGCAATGAATACATTTCCCAGCACCATTTTTCATACCAGATCACGCAACACATTTTCAAATGATAAATCTGAGATATTTCAACATCTCAATTAACGATGATGATGAAAACGGTAGTTACCATTCTTTGAACCTTCAGGGTATACCAGATTCTGGATCAGACTTTACAAAACCCCTGCAAGGTGTGGATTCTTAACTCCCTTTTGCAGAAAAACAAAAATAACAGACTCCATCAGGATAAGTGGCTTGCTTGGAATCACAGAGCTAATGAGGTGCAAAACCCTCGTCTCTCTGACCCCAAGCTTGAGCTCACCGCCTTCGTGCTGTATCACCGCCATTGACAGAGGCACTGGGTACACAGCAGAGGGCTGGGAAGTGGGGACTACTCTTGTTCTTTGTGACAGCTGGACTCATTCCATAGTCACGAACTTGACCTGTTATGCTAAGGATATTTTAATAGAAAATAAGTAAAAAAATGACTGCAGGTTTCAGCTTACTTACAATTTGGTTTAAGAATATGATCCTATGCTTTTTTTAAAAAAAGATTTTATTGGGGAATTGGGGGACAGGAACAGTGTTGGGGAATTGGGGAAGGGGAATAGTCAATTTGTTGTCCTTCAATCTCAGCAAGCTCAGCTCCAGGTCCAGTTGTGCCACTCAGCTCAAGGTGCTCAATTAAGTTGCAGGTGGGTGTAGCCACCATCCCATGTGGGAGTTGAACCAGCAGCCTTGTTGTTAAGAGCGCGTGCTCTATCCACTGAGCCATCTGGGTGGCAGCTCAGCTCAAGGTGCCGAGTTCAGTCTTAGTTGCAGGCGGGCATAGGTTGCCCACCATCTTGATCAGGCAACCTTGTTGTTAGGAGCACGTGCTCTCACCAGCTGAGCCATCCTGCCACCTGTTGGCAGCTCAGCTGCAGCTCAATTCGGGCGCCGCTCACTGACCCGTGTGGGAATTGAGCTGGCGACCCTGTTGCTCAGAGCTCGCACTGTTGAGCAAGTTCTTAACGAACTGAGCCACTCGGCCGGCCTGATCCTATGCTTTCTTTGTTGATTTTATTCCCCTCCCTCCCTTTCTCCCTCCCTCATGCTTTCCTTTCTTCCTTCTTTCTTTTCCCTTTTTTCTCCTTCTCTTCTCTCCTCCCTCCCTCCTTCCTTGCTTCCTTCCTCCTTTCCTCCCTTCTTTCTTCCTTCCCTCCCTGTGTCCTTCCTTCCTTTCTTTCTAAAATTTAATGGCTTTGAACTTCAATTCTAACACAAGAAGGATTTGTTAAATTACTTTCTACTTCTAATACCTATCCACAAAGTTTCCATTACATGGTAGTAATATTTTTGAAAACGTTCAGGGCAAACTTTGGCTTTCTTGACATGTCATCTAATTTGAGATGATAACAGTAGTACTGTTAGTTTGTCAGTTTGTTACTAATATTTCTCTAGACAATTGTTCCCCAGTTTCATTGGTATCCATCCTTTTGTTGTCATGGCTTACAGGGTAGACCATCACCCAGAAGGCACAGAGGTATTTACATACTCATTATATGTTCATCAGCCTCCTCTCTGTTGAAGTATCAAGGCTTTGGGCCCTTATTAGATCCCACCAACACATTCATTCATTCCACCACTAAACACTAGGCACGGGAGTGAACAAAACAGAGAAAAATCCTACATTTCATGAAGCTGAGCCAATGCATATATTGTAGCCATGTTCAACAATATTTACACACTCCTAGGACTGGGTAGAGTTTGTCTATTGGTACAGGACTCTGGGGATTTGGTGGCAAAACTTAGAGATTTCAGGTTAATTATCATATACAGTATTTTTAGTGTGTTACTCTTTTAGTCTCATTATTCTAGATATATTCTCCTTGGATAATCAGCTGCATTTTTCCCTTTGCCTTTTGTTTTCTTCAATAACCTCAACACCCCCTCACTTCCTCTTCCCTGCCATGCTTTAATATTCCTAAGAGCCCTGTCAGGCTTCATTTTATAGATGAGGAAATTAAGACTCAAAGAAGTTAAATAACTTCCTCAAGGCCACACAGCTAGTCAGAGGTAGATCTGGGATTTTGATTCATATGCATCGGACTCCCAACGATGTATTAGCAACCACAGTTTTATTCTTGCACTCTCTAAAAATAACGTCTTCCGTGCATTTACCATTCAGTACTTAGTCACATGGGATTATGACTTCTCTGAGATAGTCTGTGACTCCTGGCACAGTGTGAACACTGGTCCGTGAACATGTGAATGATAAAAACATGTATTATTCTTGGTGCTATTTTCAGCTTACGCTAGCTCTGATCCATTGCAAAATTTAGCGTTTCTAATACCATTCAGTTTCAAGAGGAAAATCATCCATTTTCATTGGGAAACTCTTTGGTCTTCTGTTCAACCCTTCCAATTCTACAGCGCTCCCCCATGTCAGCCAACAGGAACCTTGTTCTGTAAAGAACCCTGAAATGTTTGAATGGCTGTCTGTAGTTACCACTCACTGAGTGTCTGAGGAATTCCTTTTTTGTTTATGTGTCTCAGTGTCTCAGGCCCCATGATGTAAACCTCCTCACCAAAAACAAATGAGCATAAGCACTGCCATTTCTGATAGCAGTTCTGAAATTACACATTTTGCTGCCACTACCTGAGTTGAGAGCAGTGTGACTTGAAAAGGGACCTGTGTCAGCAGGATCGTTCCTCTTTGGAAAGAAACATGGAGTCAAAGCACACTTGAGCCCTCCATCTCTAAGAGCTTGGTTAGGACCTGTTCTATGTCAGCAAAGTTACTCAAATTTTCTGGGCCTGCGTTTCCTAATTTATGCAATTGGATATATTATACTAGACAGTGACTATATGTCAGAATTGTGATGCAGATTCTTAAAAATACAGACTCCCAGTCCCCACTCAGAGATTCTGGTTCAGAAGATCGAAGACTAGACTGGGAGTCTGTATTTTAACCAGTTTCCAGGTAATTCTATGGCGAACTGTCTTTGAAAACACATTGTGGGAACCACACATAGTGGTTTGTGCTTCAATAGACTTTTGGTGAGACTTCATTAAACCTATTTTTTTTTTCCACTTAGGATATCTGTCACAAGGAGTGGAGTGCTAGCATCCCAGCTGCAAGTCTGTCGTTCAAGGTTCTTGCTGCAGCCAGCAGTGTCCTTGGAGTCTAGTTCAAAGCTAGAGAGAGTGAACCACGGAGCCGGAGCCATTGGTGGAGGGGCTGGCCTGAAGGAAGTGAAGTGTTTCAGCCAGAATGTACTGACGCACGACCAGGAAACCACAAGACTGGTGGAAACCTTTCCAAGCCTGTGTCCTGTGATCAAAAGAGGTACAGGAAGCGGCTGTGCCAAGAGTCCTTTCTGCTGCTGGCTGGAACCCTGAGCCTCAGAGGCTCTCTGAGTCAACTCCCCGAGCAGAGGCTGTCACCCAAGGAGCCATTTCTTGTTTGCTCTGAGGTGGCCCCACAGGTGGGTAGAAATGAGCCGCTGTCTCTTTTTCTTGCTTCTTCCTTTTGGCAGCGATTGCCATCTGATAGCACACTCTGGTTTGTCAGAAACTGTAGACTACTGGCTTGTTACCCTCTTCCAATGGGGTATTGTTGGGTGTTCAGGCCTGTATAAAACACCAAATCCTAAAACGCCTACCGATGCCTAGATCATCTGACCAGCAGATGTCAATGGCCTGGACTTCCAATAGAATGGACTTGCTCTACTTATCGCGTCAGAACCGTTCCCCCTTCCCCCAGGCTGCTCCTCTTTCTTTGGTTCCGTATGAGAATACACTAAACCAGGAGTTCTGTTCAGATCCCCATCATGCCTGGACGCAAGGTCAACATAATTGTGTTGCTGTAAATTCTCTCTTTCCTTGGCCAAAGTCACTGCCAGCTGCTGTGCAATAAATCACATCATCATATAGCAGAGACAGTTAATAGCTGAGGCTAGCAGGATAACTGAGCCATGTTTTGAGAGCTAAACAAACGGAGAAATTGGACTGACCGTGGAGCACTTCAAATTGATTGCGCAGTAATGGGGTATTTTTCCTGGAAAGACAACAGAATAATTCTGAACTATTGATTCTGTCATGGGTTCAGGCTCCCATGTAGAGGAAAATAAAACAGGTGTGATAAATTTTTCATTTGGCCCCCTGCCTGGCTTTCCTTTGTATTGCATGCTTCAACTTTTATTCTTTAAACCCTGATGAGATGACCTGGCAATATTGTCCATGTGGCATAAAATCCACCATCTTAATCTGCTTTGTACCAAAATCTCAGCAAGCAGGAGGTGGCCCTCTACGATTAAGCTTTTATGAAATGATGCCCTGTGCATGGGCTTAGGTTTCAACCAGTTTGGAAAACATGAAAAATTCAGCGGGGAGAGGCCATACACCCTCTGCAAAGATTTAGGAGGTCCAGATTCGGGAGGCTACACACACAAACTGAGCAGTGACAATCCAGTGTTTTCTGTGACTCCTCCCCAGGGACTGTTATGTAAAGTAGAGGCTTTGCAAGCGCTTTGTCCTCCAGTGCATTTTGCCTTTTGGGGGAAGTGCTAACTTTGTACACTGCTAACACCAAACATTTGAAAATAAAACCTCTCTCTCTCTCTCTCTCTCTCTCTCTCTCTCTCTCTCTCTCTCTCACTCGCTAACACTCTTGGCTCAGTGTATCCTACCAAAACATACTTCAAAAGACTTCTTTATAGGAAGAATGTTTCAAAAATATAATATTCCATCTGTTATTTCAATAATACATGCTCTGGGACTCTCTTTATGAACCATTTTCCTTTCGTTGCTCCCATTTAGATGTATAAATATTTGATTCAGAAGCCCCGAGGAATAGTCAGCCAATCAGGTCACTGAATGGGGAACATTCCTAACCCTATAATTTTGTCTGTAGCAGGCGCCTCCCGCTGTGGAACTAACTGCTAAGGGATTAAAGCAATGTAATCCTCAGACTGGTCCATCTCAAGGTTACTCTGAAGTGGAGAGAAGGAAGCAGTTTTAATTTTGATAAAATAAACTTTATTTTGTAACTTTATTATTTGTTTTTCTTTCTCCTTTCGACACTTCATAATGGACGTGTCTGGTAATTGGAAGTCAGCCTCCCTGGTCGAGGTGCCTGAGGCCACCCCCTATTCTTGTAGCTTTTTTCAAGAGGTGGCCACACAGTGTTTGGTCCTGTCATTCCAAGGTGTAGAGCCCACGTTTTTTCTACCTCATGTGAACTGAACCAAGCCATACGCTGCCTCTTAGGAAACATACTCAGATGGTGCTTTCCTGATGGGTGGCAACAGACAATGCATAAGCACTGTCCTACCACCCAACTATGTTAGAAATTTCAAACCATGTGCAAAACTCTAAGTATTTTTCTACTTGTTAGACTTTGCTCACCAGACCTCTGCTTCAGTAATTATTGAGGCATTTAAGCTTATAACTTGAATTTCATGGGAACCCCCTCTTTGATAGAAACTCAAATATGTTGCCAGGAATAAATGATCTTTATGGACGAAATTTAATGTATTTTGAATCATGCTCAAAGAGGTCTTTTGCTGGGTATAAGGAATAAAATAAAAATTCCCTTTATAAAATTTTACAACTAGATGGGTAGGGAAAAATATTTTCCAGGATAAAAATATTTTCGTGTCACTTCTTAAATTAAAAAAAATACGAAAGTATAGATATACACCTAAAATTAAGCCTAATTATTAGCATGTAAATAGGAGACAATAGGGCAAAACTGTGGCAGAGCTTTAAAAATGTCTACAATTTTGGCCAAGAAATTATGTGTTTAGAAGTTTACTTAGGAGACAATTAGGAAATCATCACACAAAAGTGTATACGCAAAGATGTTATCATTGTATTATTGAAAAGAGTGAAATATGTAGATTGAAATTTAAAAGAAAGTGCTCATTAACAGTCTGAATAAGAATTCACATATATTTAGTTTTGCTTTGAAAGGTTTTCCCTTAAGTAGTATTTCTAAGTATTAATTTGAACCTTGTTTTCCCTTAGTGTTAATGAATTAAATACTATATTAAAAAGTGCCCAGTTCAATCTAGATATGATAAATGTTAAGATGATAACCTCTAGAAGAGGGGTTAATTTTCACTTCCAGGCTATGACGGAATAGCTTGTATCTGACCAACACTCCCACAATAACAACTTAAACATCTGGATAAATTAAACAAATAATTCTGATAGCACTGGAGAGCTGTAAGGCATCGATAACTTTGAAATAGAACAAAGAGATGAACCTAACATTTGGAGCTCCTTTTCCCATGAAGGTATTTCCCAATTTCAAAGCAGCCAAGAATTGGAGAAATTGAGGGCAGCTCTTAGCAGTTTTATGGAACTGAAGGAATAAAACTTAGAATTGGAGTCTGTGGAGATGTTAAGGATCTAGTAAATCATCAGGCTTTCATTCGGGATGCCTAAAGGACTACAATTTAGGAGTGAGAATGAACAGAATCAGCCCTTACAGAGACTGAAACAAACTCTAAAGTATAAAGTCATTTGCCTGGGCTAATAGTCCACTAAATTGCAGGAAGATACCATCATTAGAAACTTCTAATGACTTAAAAACTATTTTGCACTCAATGCTACCATTTAATAAAACATTATCAGACATTCCAGTAAGCAAGACCAAATAATCAACAGTGAAGAGAAAAAAAAACAAAACACCACCACTCAGGGGGAAAAAAATGAAAGAGACCTACAGAAAAACATTTATTAGAGTTATCAGACGTGGGCTTTTAAATATAATTAATATTTTCAGGAAAATATAGAACGAGGTGAAAAGTTTCAGCAGAGAGGTGGAATCTATGAAAATAATTGAAGTGGAGTTTAAAAATAAAAAAGTACAATAACTGAATTTTCAAAATCAATACATGGGTTTAAGAGCAGATCAGACATAGCCAGGATATAATTCAGTGAATTGCAAGATAAGTCTGTAAAAAAACACCCAGAATAAAATACAGAGAGACAAAGGAAAATACTGAGGATAAGAGACACATAAGACATAGAAAGAAGGACAAATAACTGTAATTGCAGCCCTAGAAGTAGAAAGAGAGAATGGGGCAGAAGCAATATTTGAAGAAATAATGGCTGATAATCTTTCAGAACTGCTGCAAAACATCAAGCCATAGATCCAAGAAGTGTTACGAATGCCAATTAGGAAAATGTAAAGAAAATCATAATAAAACTACTTAACGCTGAAGAGAAGGAGGAAAATCTTAAAGCTGCCAGATAAAAAGGACGTTGATTTCAAAGAAACAATGAGAAAACAACTGACTTCTCAATTGAAACGATGGAAGCTGGTATATAATGGAAATCATATTCCAATTGGTGAAAAAATAAAAATAATTCCTTACCTCAAATTCTATACCTGGTAAAATTGTCTTTCAAAATTAAGATAAAATAAAGACACTTCTAAGCAATCAAGCACTGAGATTCTTCATCAGCAGTGTAATTTTAATGGGAGTTCTTCATACAGAAGAAAAATGATCCTAGATAGAAGCATGGGAACGCAGGAAGAAATATAGTAGAACTATTTAAGCCAAAACTGAGTAAAAGCCAAATGTCCATGAATAACAGAATGTATAAATTATCTTCTGTGTCTATAATGAAGTACTAAATGGGCAATGACAATAATCAAACTACAGTTATATGAATCAACTGTAGTTTGGGTGACTCTCACTCAACATTACGAATGGAGCAAGATACAAAGAGTATATATTGGACAGGGATATACTCATAAATGTCCAAAAAAGGCCAAAAATACATACAACGTTGGAAGTAAGAATGGTGTTACCTGGGGTAGAGAGTATAGTAACTGGAAAGAAAGGGTTGTAATGATTTCTTGTTTTGGCTCTGGCTCCCCATTACATGGTGTGTTTACTTTGAGAATATTGATGAAAATGTACCATGATGATTCGTGTATATTTCAATAAAGGGAGGGGGAAAATACTCCAGAGTTCTGTTCGCGTGATGGGAAAATAACATTTTTTTTTGAGCGAAGGAATGAGAAAGGAATACAGAAATAGCTTATTTTAGTTTGACTTCCTTAAAAGGAATTTTTAATAATTTGGAGACTACTCCATGGAATTTTGGGATTTTAAAAAGCTCCAAGCCTAAGGATTATAATTAGCATTCAGTCATGACGTCTGATTCTTGAACCTGTTAGGCAGAAAAACGTTTCTTCAATGAGACATTCCTTTCATGAATCTTGACTAATGAAGAAAAATGTGGCCATCTACATGTGGCCCATTGTAGATGGTGATTTAGAGTGCGGGAGGATCCCAAGGATGCGTCCTTGGTTGATAAATGGGGTAGTTATTTCACACCACGTCTGCCTCATGATTCACAGACCCACAGGGAAAAGATGTAGGCGGTTGGTAGGCTTCAAACTGTCTTAGAAACTAACAAAATTGAAAACTGAATAGAAACCTTGGGAAGCTCTGGGTTACTGTGAGAATAAAGGGGATCAGGGAGCTAAGCCTCTGAAGGGAGACCCCCAAAGCTGGAAGGCGGCAGCTCAATGTGGTCTGCTCTTAGGAGACCCATTCAGATAGAAATGAGTCCATAAAAATCCTTTTTTTCCCCCCTTTTTTGCTTTCGACATGTGTGTGGAAAGCTAGGAAACTATCTCAGCTGACAAACTATTACTTATAGGATGGTTAAAGATGGGATGATTTAGTTTGAGCGAGAGGTTTCTATCCAGAAAGCCAAGAAGCAGAGTAACAGCCAATGCAGGGGCTATCCACTACACTGGACACTTCTCCAAAGCAGCGAGTGAGGCTCCAGTGGAATGCAAAACAGAATTTCTTTCTTTGTTTTAAAAAATTAAATTATTGGGGTGACCATAGTTAGTAAAATTTCACAGGTTTCAAGTGTGCATTTCTATAATACATCGTCTATATAGCACATTGTTTCTTCAGTGACGTTTGTATATGCTTAGAAACTAATGTGCTCAAAATGCTTATTTTTGTCAGATACATCTTACAATGCTGCACCATAAATGTTTTCATGTTCTCAACACGGGTCTTCAATCAGTTTGGCATGGTTTTTAATCTTGGCAAAAATAAATTATACCAACAGTAGAACGATCTTAATATGTTTGAAGTAGTTTATACTTTCTCTAGAATTTTCGCTATCTTTTAATATGATGGTGGCAAAAACATTTTGCGGGGGAGGGGACAGGGAATGAGAACATAGAAAAATAAGACTGCTTTTCATTTACCTTTACTTTTTCTCCAGTAGACATGGAATCAACGTGACAATTCAAAAGGAATGATGGCTCCATGATTCTTGTTCCCTGATGCTCTTCATGTGACCTACGTGTCAGCTCTATAGGACTTCTAGAAGCTTCAAGGTAACGAAATATATTTCTTCCTGGAACCATCCTGATAGCCACTGGTGTCAGGCATCAGTCACAGAATTGCCTCATCGGCTTCCTTACTAGACTTGCATTCTAGGGGTTGCAAGATAACCTCGAGACTCACTTGGCTCACAGAATCTTGGGAAGTTTGATAGGCCTCAAAATGGAGATGGCATCCTGGAAGGGAACACTTCAGTGTCCCTAGCCTAGCTCAAAAAGAGGGTATTTTAATAAAGACATTTTGATAAGCACATGCCACATTCACATGAGACTGTGAAAGCTATTTTTGTCAGAACAATAAGCTTTCTGTCCTTCCTCTCCTGTAACAAACTTGGCCCAGCGGCTACAGGGTGGAAAGGAGGGTATCTCAGGCCCACCTCTCATTGGTTACAGTAATTGGATGAAGGGCGGGCAGGTGGCCTAAGAAAGGTCAGTCATAATCTTTCCCTGGGGCTAGTGTGTCCTCTGAGGTGTCCACGACCAGAGGATGTTTCTGTGGGGTTGCGAGCAGATATGTGGAGAGAACGTGCTTGCTGAATGAAGCCAAGTGGAGCAAATGTCAGACAGAAATACAAGGGTTCGTGGCCGTGATCTCTATTAAAGACCGGGAGGCGTTGAGCCCCTCGCCTCTTCCCTCGCTTCTCTGAATTGCGCAGGTGTGTCCCCGAGCTTTGTGAATGAAGGAAGCCTCTTCTTGCACAAGCCAGTTAGAGGTGATTTCTGTCACTAGCAACCCGAAAAGTAATAATGAATAAAAGGACATTATCAAGAATCATAGGAGGGCCAAGAACTGCCAATTGTCCCCACTTTGGAGCTACTTCTTTCCAGCATCTTATCGGCATGTGTTCTCTCCTTACTACGGGCCCTTGGACGTTAGATATCTGCCCTGTATATTGAGATCATTCCCAAATAGTGCAGGCCCTTCACAGAGCTTTGCTTCTCAAATTTCAGTGTGCTTGGAGGAGCTAAAAATCTGATTTCTTTTTTATATCAAATGTGACAAGTTATCTATGTTATGACCTGGACTGCCTCAAAGAAGATAGTAATATCTGCTATATTCTAAGCACTGTGCTAAGCAGAAGTTTAATGAATTTATCAATGGTCTTAGACCTCAAGCTACTTAAACCAGAGGTTTCTTTATCTATAAAAAATAATATCATATGCAGCATTTGTTAGGAATAAAAGAAACAAGGGCTGATACGAACTGTAAGGAACTGGGGAATTAAGAAGACACGGTCACTGTGGGCTAGGAAAACTAGAGACGTGGGATTTGAGCAGAGTCCCAAAGAACAGCTAGGTTCAGATTATTCAGAAGGAGCAGGAGCTTTCAGAGAGAAGAGAAGGTGGGGACCAAGACTGAAAAAACAAAAGGCAGATCTGTGTGCGGGTATGCAGGCTTGGTGAAGAGGAGGGCACTCGTCCCACACCACCCACCATCTGACCCCTTCCGCGTCTTTCCTGGCCATCTTTCCCTCCTACAATGTCCTCATGGATTTTGATCTGAGGGTGGGAAGAGGGCGCTCGCCACCCCATCTGGAGTTCTCCTTGACACGTGGTCCCTCCAGCCGTTCTGTTCTGTGTGCTCCTATTCTCTCTGCATCCATGGGCTCCCCTTCTGATCATTCATCAAAGTAAGGGGCCATCTGCTCTGGGCTCCGTCTGCTCCACGAATGAAAGGAAGGCATGTGGTACGTGGCTCCATTCCAGCTTCCCCCTCTTTCCATCTGCTGTGCCCCTTTGAACAGCCCATGGGGCATAGCTGATGGCTCACCTTCCTGCAAGGTGCACGACCCTTTGCTTTCAGTCCTATTTTCCTTTGAAAAATACCTGCACCTCCTGCTGTTCACGTGTTATTGTAGAAACCCCTACCTTACACCACACCACTGGTTGTTTAGACTTCTTTGGCAGGAACCCATTTTACCAATGAAAGGTGCTAAAACCTTTCCCTGAAGGAAATTCAACATTTCAGCCAATTCTTCCATTACAGGAAGAATAACAACTTTCAATTTATATATCCCGATCCCTTTGAAGTACATTATTGACATTTGCTAACCAATCGCTTGGGTCCCTCGCCTCACAGGAGAGGGTTTGAAGCTGGAACAACCTGGAAAGTACAGTCTAAAATGAATGGAAATAGGCCCAGGAATGAAATGATAGAACTAAAAACAATAGTGCAAGCACCTTCCAAAAACCATGTGTGTGTGTGTGTTTGTGTGTGTGTGTCTGAATATGTAATCGACACATGCATTTTTCACGCAAACCAGAGAATCAGAGAAAGACCTGTCGATGACTAGGAGGAAGGAAATTTTAAATGTTATATTTGTGTAGAAAAAAAAATCACTTTTTCCAAATTTTTTGAGTCCTAAATAAGTGTTTAACATCTCGGATCCTCACTTGGCTAATTTGTAAATTGGTGATAACGAATACCTATAGGAAAGCATTTTTATTAAGGACTCAATATTAAGCACAGTGCCTAATATGTAGTAGGCACTCAAATAGTTATCCCAGTGCTTGGACTATAATGGGGACTCAATAACTATCCCTTGTTTGAAAAAGTAAATGAAAATAATATGTCGAAAGCCCCTCATCTTCCAGGCACATAGTTGGTATAATCTGGTTACTCTTATGCTCCTAGAAAGATATATACTCCCATCATTATTTCTGTCGTGATTGATTTATATTCCCTGGTTAGCCCAGTGTGGAAACTCTATGAAACAGAAAAGCAAAACTATAAAAATAGTCTTAATTTCTGTACTATCAGAAATTAAGTCTTAATTTCTTAATTGACAATAGTCTTAATTTCTGCACCAGTACCATCCCTGAGGGCTGTGTCAGCTGGGGTCATTGTTTTCTAGAATTTCAAACAAAAAGTAAGTCTCTGAGAGCAATGAGGAAACAGAAACAAAGGTTTGTTTAATTAAGGGTCCATTTAGGGCAGTGAAAAAGGCAGGCAGGTAAACAGAATTGAAAGAGACAGGTGATCATTTTAACAGCTTTATTGAGATACAATTGGCACACCATGCACTGCATGTATTTAAACTGTACAATTTGATGAGTGTTGACATATGTGTATATGCATGCAGTCACCAACGTAATCCAGAGAGGTTAATCAAGCACATCAATCACCCACAGACGTGTCCTTTCAGCCCCGGAAGTCCCTCCTTCTGGCAACCCAGTGTTTTGTTTTGTTTTTTTTTCTATTACTGTAGATTAGCTTGGATTTTCTAGAGTTTTATGTCACTAGAATTATACAGCACATTGTCTTATTGTCTGGCTTCTTTCATTCAGCAGTTACTTTGAGATTCATTCTTAGCGTTGCATTTATTAATAGTTCATTCCTTTTTATTTCTGAGTAGTATGGTATGGCTATAACATACGTTGTTTGTCCACTCACCTGTTGATGGACATTTGGGTTGTTTCCTAGTTTTGACTATTGCAAATAAAGCTCCTGTGAATATTTGTGTACAAGTCTCCGTATGTATATATTCTTTTATTTCTACGTAGGAGGAGAATGCCTGGGTAATGGTAGGTGTATGTTTAATTGTTTAACCAGCACTTCCAGGTCCTCATCCTCGCCAGTCCTTGGGAAGGTCATTCCTTTTAGTTTTAGCCATTCTAATAGCTGTGTAGTAATATGATGTTAATTTGCATTTCCCTAATGACCAGGGACGTTGAGCATCTTTTCCTGTGCTTGTCTGCCATATGTGTATTTTGGTGAAGTGTTTGTTCAAATCTTTTGCTCATTTTTTATTGGGTTGTTTGTTTTCTTATTATTGAGTTTTAGGTGTACTTTATAAGTTCTGGATACAAGCTCTTTATGAGATTTATGATTTGCAAATATTTTCTCCTAGTCTATGGCTTATCTTTTCATGTTCTTAACAGTGCCTTTCAAAAAGTAGATATATTTAATTCTAATGAAGTACAATGTATTAGTAGTTTCTTGTTTGATGGATCATCCTATATAAGAAATGGTTTTCTTCAGAGTACTATGGTTTTAGGGTTTACATTTAGGGTTCTGATTCTTTTTGATTTATGCATATGATAAAGGGTGTGGATCACATGGATACTTTGCATTTGGGTATCCAGTTGCTCCAGTATCAAAAGTTAAATGGAGTCCTTTCTGCACAGAATTGCTTTGGCATCTTTGTAGCAAATCAGTTGTCTTTATAATGTGTCGGTCTATTTCTGGACTCCATGGTTTTCCATTGATCTTCTTTTCTATCTTTATATGATTAATGTAGCTGTAAGGTAAGGCTTTGGGTTAAGACTTTATTCTTCTCTCCCAAAGGTGTGTTGATTATTTTACATTCTTTGCAATTCTGTATGAATGTTACAATCAATTTGCCAAGTTATTTAAAAAAAATCTGATGGGATTCTGAATCTGTTGAATCTACAGACCAATTTGGGGAGAACTGACATCTTAATTATATTGAATATCTCTATCCACAAACATAGTATATCTCTTCATTTATTTGGATCATCTTTCATTTCTCTCAGCAACGTTTTGAAGTTTTTAGCATACAGGTTTTGTAAATCTAATCAGTTTTATCCCTAAGTAACTCATGTTTTCTTATACTATTATGAATTACATATTTTTAAATTTTCAATTTCTGATATTTTTCTTTCTAGTACATGGAAGTAAAATTAATTTTTGGTTATTAAGCTGGTATCCTGTAATCTTGCTAAATTCGCTTATTAGTTCTAGTAGCTTTTATATAGATTCCACTGACCTGCCTACACAGAGACTATATTGGCTGAAATAGAGTTTTATTTCTTCCTTTCCAATATGGGTGCCTTTTGCTTTTTGTTTTTACCATATTGTACTGGCTAGAACCTCCAATATAATGATGGTAAGGAATGGTAGAGGAAGTATTTTTATTTTATTCTTGAACTTAGCAGGAAGATATTCAGCCTTTTACCAATAAGGATGATATTAGCCATAGGCCTTTCATAGATGCCCCTTCATCTAGTTGAGGAATTTTCCTTCTATTACT